ACTGCAAAGAGCACTGATAGATATTTTTGCATATACATGTTAAGAGTCATCAATGTTCTGATTAGCTCTGGGAGAATGAATGAAAAATTTCAGGTCTGTTCTTCTGGCTGCTATTGCAAGCACACAAGCTCTGTAAAGCTTTCAAAATCCTCTAGGGTAAAATAGTTCCTTGGAAAACCAAAACAGGAAAAGATATTAAACCATATATTGATAAGGGAACAGTATCACAAACTGGATCGTCAGTCAGAATTTCCTTATAGACATTGACAGTGTAAAACTTTTCTAGTGTTCTTCTTCACAATATGTATGACAATTTGTACACAACATTCCCTGACCTAATAATGTGTATTGAAAGACATAGAAATGACATGATTTGAAAAGAGAGTTTTTTTCACCCTAACTTTCCGGCTGTGTACTACTTAGCTCTTGAAAGCTCTAATGCAAGAACAGTGAGACCAAAGAAAATAAGACAGTATGATGACCTTTCACTTGTACCGGATGGATTTATGTACCAGTAAAGTGTAATCTGATAGGGAATGGTGCCCTCTGCAGGGCAGTCATGCTTAGTTCATCCCACGCTGTTTGCTATGAGATGTCTTTATGAGCTATGTTCACTATTAGAAGTGCATGGAAGAGAGCACAAGGAACCCTCTTTCAGCCTTTTTTTGTGCAGGGGTAGTCATTGTGTCTTTGGGAGCTACTAGGATTTTCTCAGTGTATTTGTTGTTCAGGATTGCTCACTAGGTCCTGTGAACAAGCCACTACCCATAGCTATTTAGAGATTTATGATGAGGAGTTAAAATTTATAATATGAGCTGTTTTGGTTGAAAATTGAAAACACACATTTGGTTTGATTGAATGTAATTTGTGTTCCAATGCAGATGATTATTTTCTTTTAACATCTACGTTTAGTGTGTTCAGAGCTTTACAGCCAGATGTTATGCAGTGCCTCTCTAGCAGAAGACGCAAGCAATCTCATTTTGAAGTTATGCTGTGCAGTGAAGCAAACTAACTTAATAACAGTTATTCTGCTTCTCCTCTGTATTACAGGTGCTGCTTTGCCACCACTGAAACTAGGGCATTCAGTCTGTGCCATGAAAGCAGATGAAGGTCCATGCAAAGCAATCCACATGCGCTATTACTTCAATATTCGAAGCCGTGAGTGTGAAATATTTGAATATGGTGGATGCCATGGCAATGAGAACAACTTTCTAACACTGGAAGAATGTCAGAAGAAGTGTGTGGTAACAGGCCAGTACCCATTCTCTTATCTTCCTATCAGTTCTTCATTTGCATCTGTTACTTCTCATCCACAAACCATATGAATTTTAGAAGTAGAGGCCCTCTCCAGTTCCTATAAATACAGTAATGTGATACCTCTAATTATGTTCCCAAGTATTACACTATGTTGTAGTTATCTGAATTATTTTACATTGTGCAAGCAAACATTCAGGATTTGGAAAGATAAGTGTGACATTTTTTAGTGGACCTGTGGAATAGAGAGACTGATGCAAGAAAGCTTATTTTCTACCTAGAGCCCTGTTTTGAATGAGTTCTTAAAGTGAAATTCATTTTGAGGCTGGGCTAAGCCGGTGGGCAGTGTAGATTGTCTTTATTGCTTTCAGAGTATCTGAAATTTTTGATCCCAAGTTTCTCCTTCACATGAGAAGCTGATAGAAGCTCTCCAAAATCTTGGACATCTGCTATGATTCAACATAATTAGAACTACAGTAGTAAATAATTCTCATTAAAAATGTCAGTTATACCTATTTGTCATAAAAGAACAGGTTTATTGAAACCTCATCAGTTAATCATTAAAAAGAGGAAAATGAGATCCAAAATATGATACACAGCAGAATATGCAGAAAGTACCTTGTGAATGCTGTTTTTGCTATTAAAAATGATCCTTGTAATTAACTAAGGCTTTCAGCCTTGTGAAAGTAACCAACTCCTGTTCCTCACAGGAAGTTAGAAGATTCTTAAAATTCGAAGTTATGCCAGTGGAGCTAGAAATTTGACAAGTTCATATTTTTAGAGACTGAAGGAATTCAAGTCTTATTGAGATTTTCCTCTGGATACTTAATATGGATGTTGCTTTCATGGGAATTAGATGGAATGTGTCTGGCTGTGTAAACAGGAAGTGATAGTGGGGGAGGTACTGAGGGGGGGGCAATATAAATAGAAAGAAAATTCCAGAATAAAGAGCTCCTCAAAGGTGTGTGATAACCCTCAGATAGTATACAACTATGTGGGGGTTTTTTGAGGTAAGCTAGAAGGATTTGTTCTCAATAGAAGGCACTTTTCAGTCACATAGGCCTTGCCCAGCAGCAAAATATGTCATTAAGTGTTAATGAACTCAAGACAGCGATGCTGGGCAATCCTGCAGTAGAGAACAGTTTACAGGTTATTGTGAGGATGGGCAACACAATTAGATGAAAATTGTTAATCTCTCCTGCCTATTAGAGATGTACTCTGGTAGCACCCTACTGCTGTGCAGATCTCAGTAGGTATCACTTTGTTTGCCCTGTTTTCATAATTTATTCTAGCCCTGGGCATTTCCATAAAACTGGAAATCTGCTGATATACTATAGGCATTGAGTTGGTTTGCAGGATATAAATTTGTACCTTCTAGGATTAGCATAGGTCACTTCCAAGCACAGCAAGTTTATATATGTTACAAAAAATACTTCGAGACATTTCAGATTAGAAAATTTATTTCAGAAGCTCCTTTTTGGGTTTTCTGACCCAAACAGACTATACATATAAAGACAAGCTGATTTATAGCATGGTGCTTTGCCTGTAATAAATGTAAATGGCTCTGTTAGCCATCTCCCATCCCTTCCAGGATTCACATCTATGTAGTATTTAGATCAGGTCTTAAATCTGCTACATTGTCTGTTTCAAAACACATCTGTATTTCCTGATAAAATTACTATGAATTGTGTCACTAAATTTATTCTAGACATCAAAGTAAGTATCTGTCTCTCATCCCAGTGTCAGAGTAATGACTGGGGCTGATGTGGACATTACCCTAAATAATATTTTAATAATGTTTGTTAGTTATAATGCTTCTAATCCTCAGAATCTGCAAACATTAACTGATCATACCAACAAGCCAGGTACTGTAAGCAAGCTATTAACTTCCCTTTTTGTCCTGGTTTCAGCTGGGATAGAGTTAATTTTCTTCCTAGTAGCTGGTATAGTGCTGTGTTTTGGATTTGGTGTGATAAGAATGTTGATAACACACTGATGGTTTAGTTGTTGCTAAGTAGTGCTTACACTGGTCAAGGACTTTTCAGCTTCCCATGCTCTGCCAGGTGCACAAGAAGCTGGGAGAGAGCATAGCCAGGACAGCTAACCCAACTGACCAACAGGGTATTCCATACCATATGATATCATGCTCAGTATATAAACTGGGGGAGGGGACTGGGGAGCAGCGATCGCTGCTCAGGGACTGGCTCGACATTGGTCGGCAGGTGGTGAGCAATTGCATTGTGCATCACTTGCTTTGTATATTCTATTATTATTATTATTACTACTACTACTATTTTCTTTATTTTATTTCAATTATTAAACTGTCTTTATGTCAACCATGAGTTTTCTCACTTTTACCCTCCCGATTCTCTCCCCCATCCCACCTGAGGTGGGGGGAGTAAGCAAGTGGCTGTGTGGTGTTTAGTTGCTGACTAGGATTAAACCATAACACTTTTACTGACAGAAAAAGAAAGGTGGTAAGGTAATAGAAAAATAAGTGAAGTCCATAGACTGTGTTACAATTGGAGCAGGGAGTACAGCTCAGGGTGTCTGGCATTTACTTGACTAGTAGGTATAATCTCTTCTGTCTGTATGAGCTATGTAGTGTTGATACTATATTATATAGCCTTAATACCTATTTAAACTTCCACAAGGTTGATCAAGTTTTTCAAATAGTTACAGGCATTTAAAATGAGAGGAAAAATTACTAAAAAGGTTTTGCAGGTTCTGTGTTTCCTTATACTACTTTTCAGCTACCCATATGCGCCACCATGCATTTCTGTTATTGTGCCTGGCACTATAGACAATCCATTCAAAAGAAAAAAAAAAAAACAAAACCCACAAATATGAACCTTAAATTTTAGAATGAAAGGAGATTTCAGTCATTTTTCTAATCAGTTATGCTTTGCTTTCAAACAATTGCATGCTTATAAAACTATCAGGATGGAAAAAACACTACAAAACTTCACTAAAAACTTGTCAAAGTGAAGAAGATCAGATCACTCCATTCCTTAAGTGAATGGCAGTTTTTCAGTGCATTTTACTCTAAGGATTAATCTGAAACTTATCTTTTGATAGCTTCTGGCAAGATCCACTAATGAGCCTCAGAGACTGGATGCGCTCCAGGGAGGAAGTGGCGAGAATCAGTCACAGTCTCGCTCTGTTTTCAGGAGTCATATATGGGTAAACATAGTGCTAATGATGTTAAAATAAGGTATATCTTGAAATGACATCCCATCAAGGAAAAATGATATGGAAATCATAATTTCTTAGTTACAAAATAACATAATCTAGCATTTCAAGTCAAAAAAGAGGTGACATAGAGAAAAGCATCTTCCTGAATATAAACATCTTGCCCTAAATGAAAGCACACATAAAGTCAATGAAACTCTGTCCTACTTGGATCTGAATCGGTTCTTAAGCCAACTCTTACTCAACTGGCTGAGAAGGGAACGAACATTTACATCAGTGATTCAGTTTCTTTTCATGTTGAAGTCTCAGATAGTACTAGAAATATGGATTACTATTTTGGTGCTCATGTACCTATATTTGTTTCTTTAGAAATCAGTTAGGATAAAAGCTGTTTACAATACTATTCTTTCTCTAGACTATACTATTTGTGTCTTGGATTCTTCATACCTGAGTAAAAAAAATAGATACAAAAGTAAGATAGAATTCAAGTAATATGTTTTTAAATCTTCGTAAGAAACTACTGGATAGGAGCAGATGACAGTTCTTGGCAGAAAATCAAACAAGGGAGAAATTCATTACAGAGGAATAGAAGATCAGGGCTGTGCTTAACCAGTATACAAAACTAACACAAAAATGACATTTTGCTCCTTTTCTACCTCTGATATTTTGTTCTTACATTTCTACAAATTGTCCTATCAAAAGTTTTAGCTGTTCAGGAACTGAACCCTACAATATTTAATGAGAGCAAATAGCCTTGTGCTGGTTATAGCACAGGTTATAATCAGTAGTACTTTCAGATTTCTTGTATCAAGGCCTAAGTGATAATTCTGATATCTCTATATCTGGGTCATTTTCTCCAACCAGTTTTAGTGCTTGTTAGTAGAGAAGGTAGGAATGTAGTGCTTGAGGCTTAAAAGGCAGGAATTGGTCTTGCTTCCAATGTGGACTGAAGGTTGCCACTCACCAAACTGGGTGTAAAAGACTTACGTTTAGCATTTGCTAATCCTCACCCCCATAAAGGTTTATGACTAAAGAGGCTGATGTCCTTCCTCTACTTAACCCAGCCTGGGCAGATTTCTGAGTATTACTTAATATTACTTATTCTGTATGGTTATCCAGGAAGATGTATCTCTGTCAGAATTGAATGATGATATTTTCATGAGCATTCAAGGCAAATTAATATGATTTTAAGGAGTTAAAAATTATTCAAATTGTGGCATTAGTATTTTGCATAGTAATTGTCTGTTTATCTGACAAATGGCCTTTCTAGACTTAAAATTCTTCCTTTGTCATATGGCTTCCATGAGTCATAAGTTCGTATCATGGATTTAACCGATTTTTTTTTTCTATGGACAACCAGCTTAAAAGTTTCTTTACATATTTATTAAATTTTCAGCACAGAAATTAATGAAACTTGCAGCTGAACTCCAGACTTAATACATACATATAAGTTTAAAAAATGAATGTTGGCAATGTCATTCTAAGAGACCAACCTTCCTTAAAAGGTATTTTCTTTACTTCTACAGTGTTTTGTTTAGAAAATTGTGATTAATCTGTTTCTAGTTACGGCTCCACAAAGTTTAACGAATACAATCCTTCAAGATAAAAAATGGAAAGTTATTTTTCTTGATTAGCACTCAGTGTCAGAAAGACCTGGGATCTAGGATGTGAAGATAGCTCTTCTTTTTCTGTCACCAGACTGGCTTTTGGTACTTTACAACTGGTACCTGGTTTTGGGTTTCAGCTGGACCCATAGCATTTTTACCATGCTTGGAGCAGGATTGTTTGCAGGACTGCAGCTGCCAGTATCTCATCCAAAACATGTGACTTTGTGGTAATTTGGAGTGTTTGTCCTAAATTCTAGTTTAAAGGCTAAAATAGAGGGCTAAACTGAGAAAGGCAGGGTTGATAGATACAGAATTTGGAATGAAAAGCGTCCAAAAGTCATGATCAGGTGCCATGAGTGAAGTTCTATAAAATTATTTCTTCAATCTAATATTGCTATTTTGACTAATAGTGTTATTTTGATTCTGACATATATGTTGGATCAATATCTGGAGCAGATCTTCTGGACCAAATCCTGTACATGCATATAATTGGCATAACTCCATAGAATAAAACTGGAAGTTATTTAAAATGAGAATTGGCTTAGTGTCTACATCTTGGTACTCAGCCCAAGTACAGTATTTGGTGTATGCATAATAGTGATACAAGAATCTGCAAGTGTTGAATCTGCTATGAGGAACTGGAGCAATAAAGGCTCATTATTTCTGTATTCTCTGAATGAATAACAGCAGATAAAATGGTTTGGTGGCACACACAGTATGCTGTCAACCATCAGCCATAAAACAAAGTAAACTAGTAAGTTAACCCACTTTTGCCAACACAATTCAGTAAAAAAATATATAATTCAGTAGGTTCTATTTGTTAAATCTGGCTCGCTCTGTGCAGTCTTGCAGTATATGATTATATTCATCTTAATTAATGTTTTCAGTATTTATTACTGCAGGAAGATCACTATTTAGTAACTGTAGAAATCAGACTGAAAAGACAGTATGAGTGAAGGAAAATGCTTAAAAATAAAGAAAAATTTAAGAGATACTCAGACAGTTATCACTGTGAAGAATGTGAAGGTCAAGATTGTTAAAAATAAGCTAAAGGGAAGTTATGCAAGATATATACAAATTCAAAAGAAATAATGTGAATAGTCAAAGTGTTTGATTTTCCAATATTAAGCACAAATACAAGAATAAATGAGCCAACATGAGTGAATTTCCAGGCTCCTTAAATCAGAACAACTTTTTAAATTTTTTAAATTAATAAGCCATCAAAGATAGAAATGAGTAATTCCCAGAACTGACTGAAGTCCGTACAAGAGAGTTCAGAGAGCCCAATAACAGGCTGGCCACTCCAGGACTCTCTAAGACAGTGTTCAGATTCAAGATGCCTAGTTCTGACTCAAGTCTCCTAGAAATCAGCTGCATTTTTTGTTTCTTGTGCCCAATACTCACCACTTTGGGGAAGAAAATATTACTTTTAAGAGGAGTTTGCCTCCGCTGTTTACTGGATATGAGTAGAATCACTAATGTCATCACTAGCACAAAGGTCCTAATTTTCAAGGCAGTGAGTATATATCTTAGGCTACTTAAGCCTCTAACATGGGAAAATACCTACTGATAAAAGGTTCTGGACATGACAGCAATTCTAATGTCTATTATTTACACAGCAGATCTACCCAGAAATACAGTTTGTTTAAAAAGAAGAAATTAACTCAGCTGTGGATTTGGCTTTTTGACTGAAACCAGAAGCAAAAAGACACTGTTGACATGGTAGTAAGATTAAAACATTCTAGGCCTGTTGAACTCACAATAAATTCTTCCTATTCTGTGCCAGAAGAATAGAGATCGTATGCCAAAGTATGATTGCTGATTTTGGCCTGAAGGGGACAGCTGAGTGAAATTAGTGAAGTGGCCTGATGTGAGTGTCCTGGTTTAGGTCATGGGTTTAAATGCCGAAGGCACAGCCTCCTACTAATAGGAAGCACTGGAAAGATGTTCGAACAAATGATATGTCACTCTAAAGTGCATGTCGTGTCTTTAAATAATATTTTTTTAAGGGTGCCAGCTGCATTGTCCCAGAGATGGAAGGAAAATGTATCATGATAGAATTTCTACCCGATAGATTTACTTTGAAAATATAACACAGGCCATGTTTCCAGAAGAAAAAGGAAAAAATGTGGTAGGATTACGGCACACAAGGGCAGTACAGCTAATGCTAAAAGCTTATTAGTCATCAGTAGCACCTCTTAAAATAGGAGCCACAGAAGGTATATCACTATATAAAGGATGTTTAGAAACACTTGCTCTGGAATATAAGTGGAGAATAAACTGCTAATATTCCTTTCAATTTTGGACTGTGAAGAGATTGTTATAGATGGCGGCGGGGGGGAGGGGAACACCTTATTAAAATTACAAATTACAGAAAAGGTGAGGATACAGATGGCTCAAGTATCTTCTATTACTGCTTCCATAACAAGGAAGGCCACAGCAGCAACTCTGCTTTCCAGCAGGAGTTGTTTTCAGTCTGAGGTCTTGCTAGTAGGTAGCTCCAAGCTGAGATAGGGCCCAGCACTCCTGTATCCCCCACCCTCACCAGTTGGGCAGAGCAACCGTATCTCACACTTGAAGTCACAGAGAGGCTGCAGTGATGTCTTTATGTGTATGACTTAGAGGCCTTCTGGGAAAAATGGCATGAGAGACTAATGCATGTGATTTAAATTCAGATTAAAATCTATACTTCCCTTTGAATTCCCCTTCATTTCATGTTTCAAAGAAGGCTAGACCATGGGTTACGCTGAGGCTTTATGAGCAGGTCTCTGGAAGACATGTATGCATTGAAGCAGGAAAAGCCATCAGCAGTAGAAAGCAGTTGTGATATGCTTCTGCTACTTGAACTGCTACTCTTGGCATGTACTATAGGAAATTGGTATCTTCTTAAGGGGGGGCTGTGGTAGCTAAGTAAATGGCCAGGGTCAGGCAAATGTATTGCTTCATTATAGTATGCTTGATTGCCTGGCAGAGCAAAAAAAAAATGCAAAATAAAATTGCATTTGCTTTCCAGCAGACAACTTCAAGCAAAGCATTAGCTGTACCACTCTATCCCTTCTTTCAGATGCAAGAGGTCAGTAGGTAAAGGAGTTTTAGAGAAACTAGCATTTTATAATGCCATTAAGAAAAACACAAGTACAAAACAAGAATTACGAAGCAACGCACCTAGAAGTCCAGAAGCTACTATTTCATGTGCCTTGCAAAATATCTCTGTAATAGAAGATATATAAGCGATCCTTGGCCAGTTTTCTCTCTCTCAGCTACCGAAAAATTTTCAGCCTTTATTAATACATTGGTTGAGCCAGTCTCCCCTTGGACTCCTTTGTAGTTTTATGATTAAGCAGTCTCCTAGAAGGGGAAGAAGGTTTGTTTTCGATCGGTGAAAAGGGGTTGAATTCAGATATCCAGCTTCTTGAGCAAGTACAATAAAACCCAGGCTCCTCCATTAAAAATGACAATAGCAACTTCATCACTGCTGATGCCATCTTTGCACTAAAAGAACAGTGCAAACAAGTTTGTCATCTATACTACCCTAAAGATAGTTGGAGATACTTGGCTGAATGGGCTTTAATATCATAAGCAGCATAATGAACACTTTACTCAGACACTACATAGCATAGCAAAGGGAATTAGATAGCATGAGAGAGGTCTTTATTGCTAACTAGATCATTTCTGAAGCTATTAGCAGTATCAGTAGCTACAGCAGTTGGGCTAAGTCAGTCTGCTAATTACTCCTCTTTTGAGGAGCAAGGTTACATAATACAGGATCTGGTTCCAGTAACATGAAGAGGAATTTCTCTGTTGAATTCAATATTGGCATAATTTGATTCCAGTACTTTTCATATCCTCAAGTTTCCAATATAGCAGGTCTTCTCATACAAAGGAAATGATACTTCAGTCCTCCACAACAAGCTTTTGTGCTACTTCTCTAATAAAGAGAAGAAAGAAGGGGAAAAGATGCTGTATTCTTCCTCCTTAGTGCTCATAGTCACTGCTGAGCACCCTGGTATCACAGGCGAGACTTGACATGTCTGCTTTTGCTAAATACTTTTCTTTTTATTTGTATTGCAGAATTGCCTCGAAGGATGATGTTAGCAAAAATTAAGAACGGTAATTATGTTTATATGCTAATCTAAGACTCTCATACAACAATAAGGGATTTAGCTTCTTTTGATAAATTCTTTATGTATTGTTCCAAGCTATCTCCTAATAAAAACAAGAATGTCAGACTAAAGTGAGTTCTTATTCCCAATCTTCTTCTTCTATATTCCTCAAAGACTTTGAGGACAGTTGTGGTCACTGAAGATAGTAGCTGCAATCTCTTCTCCACAAAATAAACACATCATGACACTTTTTTTCTCTGTCTTCGATAAAGAGAAAAGAAGGACTCCGCAGAGATTCAAGCATTATAATTAGCCATCATGTGGAACTCTTATTGTGTGTTTTGAGAATAATCTAAATGCTTCCTCCATTGTTAGCAAAAATAGGAAAACACTCTGAAAGAGAACTTTTCAAGCATTGCCTGTGTAGGAGCTAACAGAAGTTAAGGCAGATCCCCTAATTACTCATTGAGCAAGGGGGCTTGTTTCCCACCCCTGAAGGGGCAGATTGTTTACAGAAATTTAAATGCCTGATACCCAGACTTCCTAAATAACAAATGCTTGAGCACTGAGAATCACTTGTCTGAAACACTGTTGGTCTATTGAGGTAACCTATGTTCCTAACAAGGATATTTAAGTCTGACACTTACAATAGGGCTTGTGAAGACTTATTCCACCCTACCCTCTCTTTCCACATTAGAGACTTATCTGGATGGGGCCCAATGCTCGTAGCCAGAGTTCCCCAAATACAGACTTGAGTAAATTTCTTCACAAGTCAGCTCCTTTTTCTCTGCTTACCCTCCTTCCCTTATCCCTCCTTCCACTTGCTTCCTCTTGAATTGGTGTGCATTTAACTCCTCACAGAAATACCAATATTTGCACATACATTTCGAAATAGACTAATTAAATCATTTATCTTTGCAGAATGCTATTCTGGAATATTTTCATACAGAGATGATGGTTTTCTTTTCCTGTTGTCTACTGTCTTTTCCATTCTCAATGCAAAAAAAAAAAATCATGATTCTATGCTATGGAATTTACTAAAGTTCATTTTCCACAGATGCTGCAGACATTTGGCACTACCTTTAAGGTCCAACCATAGTTCCCTGCTTTTAATGACAAAAGAGAACATAACCTGTTAAATTCAGCTCATGGCTATCATCATCATTACATGTTTACTATTGTTTCCAGTAATGTAGTCTTGAATATTGAGTCTCAGGAGAAAGACATGGCATTTAGAAGTATAATAGTAGTTTGTATAGTTAGGATTATATTGCCTTCATGACCTCGCTCTTCAAAAGTGGCTATAAAAGTTAGCTACGAGATCATCTTATTTGGACTTAATTTCCTTTTTCTGCAAGAAGAATTTAAATATAAGGATTTTCTAAATGAAGAGCAGCTGTTTTTAAGAATCAGTCATAATCCTGTAGTCTACTTTACATACCCTTATTATTATCTGCCTGCCTTTCTCAGTTAATATCTAATAATCTTTTTCTCTTATTTCACAATATTATGCAACAATTCACAAGAATTGTTTCTGTAGCTTCTATTGTCTGTGAGCTCCTAATAGGTGGTATATGGAATAGATAACTACTCTGGTAGATTCTTGCCTGCTACCTGTCTACATAACTGTCTCATTTCTGTTCTCAGCTGAAAGCATATTGTATGCCTTGGCCATCCCTTCCATATTTGTTGGTCTATGTGAACTTAGTTTTGTAAATCTGTGAACATCAATAGGTGCTGCATTTGAATAGTAAGAAACGTGAAATATCTGAACTGTAGAATACATATACTTACTCGCAGAGAATGCAATTTGTAGTGAAAAATCAAAATTAAGCTATCCAGGAGTGCTTAAAATAAGTTGATTTTGTTACTTTATGCAAAAACATTTTAATGGTTTAATTTTACATGTGATCTCTGAAAATGACATTTTGCTGTTCGTGAAGCTTTATGACAGTTGAAATACAAGATATTGACAATTATTTCTTGGAAAAACACTGATTATGAGCTATTATAATGTTTTATATAAATATATTATTTGCATCAATTGAATTTAATAATATTCTTGTTCTAGCAATGATTTTTAATAGATACTTGGCTAAAATAGATGTAATAGGATTACCTTCTTTACAACTCCATAATCTACTCCAGAAATGTTAGGGACTTCAAAGTAATTGTTCTATAGTCATTTTTATTAAATGACTGCACACTGTTTTAGTCTCAATACGCTATTAAGGTTTCACAGGTAAGGAAGGCCTTTATATGTCACATCTGATATGATTGTCTTATATGATGGCTAAATACACTTTTCTCTGCAAGACAGCTCAGTCAAGAACCATATTTCAAAGTACCTACTAGCAAGAATTTGAGAATACCTCCACATATATTTCATTATTGTTTCCATTATTTTCTTTTAAGAATATAATTTTGAGGAAAAAATTGAATATGGTGAGAAATTGACATTTGGGGATTATTGTATGGCTATGTGTTTTTCTTTTCTGCCAGAAGCCATTATATCATGCCTTGATGTTCAGTCAAATTACACAGTATTCATTTGTTAACTTTTTCTTGGCTGATATTGTAGTTACTGATTGCAAACTGGGAACTGGGATTGAAAAATGATAGAATAGCTGCTCTGTCTCCCAGTTTCCTGTATGCTTTTATAGCAGTAGACTGTCCCAGACAAGATGCATTGTTAGATTTTTTTTTTTCTGTTCTTATTTTAAAACTATTTCCTTTTTCCTTCTATTTTAACATTACTTTCTGTATATTTCACACTAACATTGACTAAAATGACTGCATAAATGACAAGAATGTGTACTTAGATTCAAATGATCCATCTGAGATTCAAGGCTTGTTTTAATTCAGAGTAAAAACTAATTTTCTTCTTAGAGTTTCAATGTAGGAGGACACTTAAAAGAATCTTTAGTCTTCATTTTCAAAGATATAATTTACTGGCTACTTGAAAAGAGGAAAAAAAGCAATAGAAATAATGCTCCAGCATAATATTGCAGTGTTATATATAGAACAAAAGCAGTACAATAAAGCAGCAGTTATTTTACAGTTGGTCTTTAGTCCAAAGTTACAGGTTTATTTTACAAACTTCCTCCAGTTCTACTGTTGTCTTGGAATGTGTGTTGATTTTTTTTCTTCCCCCACCCTGTTCATCATTTACCATTGTTCGTAGAAAAGCCCAACTTCTGCTTTCACGAAAAAGACCCTGGAATCTGCCGAGGCTATTTTTCCAGGTATTTCTATAACAAAGAGACAAAGATATGTGAAGTATTCAAGTATGGTGGGTGCCTAGGAAACCAGAACAACTTCAAGAATTTGGAAGAATGCCAGACTACCTGCCAAGGCACCTGTAAGTTATCCTCATTATTCTTATTCTTATTTTTGTATAAACAATGTTGTGTTTTGAAGGTATCTTGCATGGAAAAAAAGGCAACTTAGGGTACCCTGAGGTGGCAATAATTTATATCTGAAATTAACATTAATTATGTATATTTTTAAATAAAAATATAAAAATGAAAAATTTAAACTAAAAAACCTGGTAGGTACTATTAACTTTAATGACTATTACAGGACTCCTACTTTTTTACTTTTCTCATGACAGTTAGTTGCCTGTATATATATTAATTCTACAACCCTCTGCAAAATATATATTAAACCTGTCTGTGTAAGAAAGACCACTATATTAATTTTCAGAAATCTGCTATATATCTAAGTTGAAACAAATAGTGTGTGATCTATAATTTGTAACAGAATGTTAGAAGCACTACCAAGAGATGAAGTAATTAAAGTGACATCAATTTCAACCGAAGAGGGAATTTGGTCCACAATGAGTACTGTTTCCTGGCCGTACCTCGTCATTAGAGCATCACGTTTCTCCACTAAACTTGCCATTAGGGGAAAAATTTTATAAACACACTTTCTAGGACAGAAATTTGGGGAAATTTGGTTTGAAATATATTGTAAAAATATTGGTACCTACATTGAAGAAGGCAGAGAGTTTACAGTAATAGAGATTATAATGACAGGGAATGAAGAAATGAACCTATTCTGGTTACAGCCACGTAAGTCTTTTTCTGTAATCTAAAATCTGCCAGCTGCTTGGCTTTATAATATCATAAATGTTAATATATATTTTTTAACCCGTACATCTGAACCCATACATCTCTTTTCAAACCAAGTCTTGTAATGAAAAGAGGTGCCAATATACGAATTTCTGGTTTTACTGTTTCCTTATTGTGCATTGCTAGCTTTACACCAAAGAATCATGGGAAACCTGTCCCTTACTTCTGAATTATTTGGCTGTGCAGCTTAGGCTACAAAACAGCCATTCAGACTGACCACAGATCGTTCATCCACTTCTTCATCCTACTAGTTCCCACGAATTGTTCTATAGCAGAATACAGTAACCTTCATAACTCCTCTCCCCTTCACAAAGTACTTCATTTTATTCATAGGACGAACACATTTTCCCATCCAGAGCCTCCAGACCCTTTTGTCTTGCTTCTCCCTAATGGGCCCTTTTCCAGGACTGTTTCATAATCTGTCATTTTGGCAAGGGGAACTTGAGCTTATTCACATTTAGAAAAGACAAGACCCACTATGGTTCTTTTTTAAAGATTTTTTAAATATGTATATAGAGAGAGCCATGTGCTTTTCCCCTACCTTCGCTGAAGCATTTCTTCTTGGGCTCTGATTCCACTTTCACCTTTTGGACTTGAAGTTGCAGACTGCTTTTTTTTCCTGACTTTAATCTGAAATAACACCTCCATGTAAATTTGTATGAATATGCAAGAAGAAAGAGAGGATTAAAGGCCATTACCATGGTTTAAATAGATCAAAATTTTTACTTTAGTAATATTGAATCATTGATACCAATTGTTTTTTGTGTTTTTTCCTCACTGTTTTCCTTTCATTTTTCTTTTAGCAAATTTATTGCCAATTGTTCCAGCTGAAGAACATCCTAACACTGGGAATATTAGTTCCCCAGAGGAAGAACCCAACCAGTTTCCTGGGATTTTTGGTAAGAATTTGCTTTTGCTGTTTATAGTTATCCTTTTTTAATGCAGACACTCCTTGGCTTGTCCACTCATTTTTCCGTTTATTTGAAGGTATGTATGTTAGTTGAAATACATAAACACAGTGAATTCAGTAAGATTAAAACTAGCTTCATAGCCATTTTTGTTGTCAGTAATATATATTTTGAAAGAGGCTTACAATTGCAAAAGTTAGAATGTCTGCTAGTAATATACAAATAACCTTACCAAACCATGTTTGATTTAAATCTTACATCAGTAAAATCAAAGAAGAAAAAGAAATCCATCCCAAAATTGCCTCAGCACATCAATGTCCTATGCCTTTGGGACTTAAAGAAATGCTGCCTTTTAGTGGTGTTAAAACATGGAGCAAGGCAAATGGGTGCCAATCATAGCTTATTTTAGAGCTTTGCTGTGTCTAGATAACCCGTCACTTACGGTTTCACCCCTTTTTTTTTCCTTTTAGTCAGTTTGTTGCCAACTGCTCCAAATGAGAAGTCCAACACACTGAACAGTAGTTCTCCAAGGGAGGAGCGCAACAAGTTTCCCATCTTTTTTGGTAAGAATTCACTTTTGCAGTTCTTAGCTCTCGGTCTTTTATATGCGTTCTGGATTGCTTTTCCGTTTCTACCCACTTTCCAACATATCTGAGACTAAAGAATGGGCTTCCATGTATGACAAATGTTTTGATAAGCAGAGACAGTCAAAGCAAAGAAATATATTGCTACTTACAGATCTTCCATAAATATCAGAAAGTGGAAGGCTGACCACATCTTGTCGTCTTCTGAAAGTATGCGCTTCCTGAAGGTCTAATAAATACAGAAATTTAAAGACCAAAAGCAAAAGCAGTGATGCAGAGTTCTTTTAGTCAAAACCAATATTTTTGTGGGGATCTAATTGGCAGCTGATTTAAAGCTCCTTTTATCCTTTAAAAAAGGACATATTTGGATTTTGGAATATGGCACAATATATTTATCATAATAAATTTTTATTTTCACTAAGGTCATGTTAAACTCAGTTCTTGTTTTGAGTATAATCAAGTGAATGTGAATTAATTTTCTGTCTGCTTCAAGGTATTTTTGCACTACGTATTATCATGCAGATGAGAATCTGGACCTTTACTGTAGAGGGCTAGGTTTTAACAGTTTCTGCAGCTGGAGGCTGTCCACTATAGATTGCTGGTACTTGCTCACACTGTAAAGGGTGATTAAATTTGAGGTATGTCATTTTTATGATCCACAGTTATGCAAGAGGAAACAAGAAACAGTTGGAAAAAGCCTGAGCGTTCTTACTACGTATTTCTGTTGGGTTTTTTGCATTTACACATACTTGTACTTTTGGGGATTGAGTGATGGCTTACAAATTCATTAAGGTTTTTGTGTTTAATATGATCTGTAAGATAATGGGCATGTAGGATAACATTCCTGTGCTTTTTGTTAGAATGATATGTCTAATAAAGCTTGAATGTGTGTTACATTCTGGGTTTTTTTGCCTGCACTGTGATCCACATGCACTGTTGGGTTGACGTAAGTTTCTGTGATAGTTGGATTGTTTGTTTTCCACATACAAAGCATCAATGCACTCTGTTATTAAAATGACTGAATATAAAACAGTAAAGCTTTTGGCAACTTATTTCGCTGAATAATATTTGAATGATTTAAGGCCTGGTAATAAGTCTAGGGACATAATAGCATACACATTCCCTGGAGGTTTTTACTCATAATATGAATCCCCAAAACAACTAATCTATACAAGCAAAGGGGCACGATTCACCATTTTTTCTCAGAGGAAACTGTAGGGTTCTTGGTTATGTCAACAGTAGTGAATTTTCTGGCAGAGCAGATTTTGGGAGGGAGAGGTGAAGGTAAGAGGAAGACAAAACTCAGAATTTGGTGGAAGAAAAGGTCAGGGAACAAGAGTGGGCAGAGTCAGTGTGGCTGGATGAGTCAGGTAAGAAACGTGACCTTGGAAGGACCAGTGTGTTTCAGTGAAAAGTCTGAAGACCCCACAGGTTCTTCCCTACTATATAACCTCTGTCTGTCTTGCAGTAGCCTGCTCCATGCAGCCACCTGCTGCCGTTCTGTTTATCAGCCTGTACCTTTCAGGCTGCTGGGATGGACTAAAATCTTGTGCTTTGTGCGATCCCACAACAGGGGAGGAAAAGGTAGGCCCAAAACTGACAGCCAATTTCTCCACAGAGATGTGGAGAACTGTCCTGGTTTCAGCTGGGATAGGGTTAAATTTCTTCCTAGTGCTGTGTTTTGGATTTAGTATGAGGAGAATGTTGATAGCACACTGATATTTTCAGTTGTTGCTAAGTACCCTCCTAGTCCAAGGACAGCTCCCACGCCTACTGACTGAGCTAGGTACACAAGATGGGAGGGAACATAATCAGGCCAGCCAGCTCAGCTGGCCAATGGAGTATTCCATACCTTGTGACTTCGTGCTTAGTCTATGATTGGGAGGCGTGATTCAGGGTGTACCGATCGCTACTTGGTTATCGGTCAGCGCGGGTGGGGAGCAATTGCATTGTGCATCACTCATTTTGTATATTCTATCATTATCATTATTATTTTCCCTTTTCTGTTCTATTAAACTGTCTTTATCTCAACCCATGAGTTTTTCTCACTCTCACCCTTCCGATTCTCTCCCCGCCCCACCGGTGGGGGGAGTGAGTGAGCGGCTGCGTGATATTTGGCTGCCTGCCAGGTTAAACACCAACAAGAACATAGCTTCAATTCCTGCTATTATTAGAGGTAGACGTGTAAACTGAAGTTGCAAGATAGAGCCATCTCACACAAACATGCACTGTGACTCCCCATGGCCCGCAGTGAGGGACAAGAATCTGTCTGTGCACATATGAGGTCGGGATGGACTGTTTGCGATGGAGTGGCTGATGCCCATCTTCTCAAGCCCAGGCAAAGTAGCTGGTCTGCCACTGTAACATCTACTTTGCATGTATATTGGCCTGGCTATGTGTCTTCTTTTTTTTAAATACATGACCACCATTAAAAAAAAAATTGCAAGGAGTTGTCTCTTACAGAATACCTTACCTCACAATTGAAATGCTATTTCATCTTGATTTCAAGAAAAAATACATATTATTGGTGGTATGTATAACTCTGTAATACCAGATTAATAGATTTCCAACAAAGTTCTTGATCTTCAGAAAATGAAACTCTTCTATGGCTAAACAAAACAAACTTTTTTTTTCTGCATATAAACATGAAACTTCTAGCACTATCTCACAGCAATGGATTTCTGCAGAGTGTGAAGATTGTTCTGGTCTTACTTTGCTGCAAGATCTAAAATAACTTTTATTCTGGGAAAGTTAAGAGAAAGTGAAGCCAAGAGTCAAACCTTTCATTTTTAGATTATATGAAGCGATTTATGGTAGGAAGTGCTATACTCCACATTTGATTTGTGAGATCTAAGTGGGATGCAGGATCAAAAGTCAATTTTCAACTCGGCAAATATGGAATGGCACACAGAGGCTGTTCCTGTTATTACTTCTCAAAGTCAGGGCCATATCTTTTGCTGATATGAATTGACACAGTTCTATTCGCTATAATGGATCTGCACCAATTTATACCTATAGAGTACTGTCAAGTGCAGATGACTCATTATTTTTGTAATAGCTTGTATACTTGAAGATTCTTTTATATTCTTTTTGCTGCAACCAGAAATGAGATACTGAAGTCTGCATATATCAAAAATCTGGCAATAAATCTAAGCTTTGTGAATGTCACAGACCTGTGTCTAGTGAAAGAGAATGCAATAAGCATTGTTTCTCACCCAGCTCACCAAGATCATTTCAAACTTCTTTTGTACTGTGATAAACTAACAGTTCATTGTCACACAACCCCAGCTAAGCCTGAGGGACAATGATTATTGTTGCAATGCAGGGTTGGGATTATTTTTCATAAATATGAGTCTATATGTGAATATGCACGTTTCAGAGATTCTGAAAGTATGATCATGTCATCTGTTCACATCATAGAGGGGGGTGTCTGGGATTCAAGAAAAGGCTGTATTATAAGAATTAAATCTTAAACCATACACATTTAAAGATTGTTTAGATAGCAGTGAAGGGTAAGATACAATAGTCTTTTTATAAGTAAGAACAATAGCCTTTTTTATCTACTGCATATATTTCATATAATTAGTATACTTATTTTTTCAGAAACAAAATATCAAATATTGCAGTTTTGGGTCTTATTCTCTCACCAAAACAAAATCAGTCCAAACATCTGCATCATCAAGAAAAAGAAGTAACAGAAAGATAAGACAACAGAAAGATCTACACTGTATTTTGCTGTTGTAAAGCCTGAAACCCATCTGAGAAGCTCCTGCAGAGTTAGTGGCGGCAGTTTCAGTTCCCAAGCTCCACTTGAGATGGGTTCCAAGGTCTAATTTCCTTCAAAAGTTTTTGATGGAATTGGCGTGTTTCTGAGGAACACTTTGTATTTCATTGTATCAGCATGTTCCAGAAGAAAACTTTCCACCTGGAAATGTTTGACTAACTCAGCTTGGAAGCTTTCATTTGTCCTTTGCCTGTATGAATTGTAAATTCTTTTTTCCTATGCCTGTTCATGACCTGACTTATGTCGCATATTTTTGGCAAATAATACATATCGCAAACCCAAGTTTATGAGCTTGCTAATGGATATTTAAAACCTGTTTAAATCAGATATTTTGGATGAACAGAATAGCATGAACACAAGGGTGAAGCCAGAGTCTTAAGGCCTGTTGCTGTCTGGTTGATTTCTGTAGAAATTGCATCAAAGGCCATAGGATGGGCCATGTAGTTGCATGTATAAAAAAGTTAGAAAGCATTTAATGACATTTATTAATTTTTAGCTTCATATGATCCACTTGATGTTAACATGGAATGGTTATGGAATGTAATGAGTAATGCTATTTGCATTGTGAAAAAAAAAATTCTAAAATGTAATCTAAATTGACAAAAATGGTAGAGTTAAAAACAACATTTCTATCTCAAGTAGGCTCTCAATAAAGTTGATACCTGTAATTCATAGACCTGTAATGACTAGATTAGGGGAAAATAATTCTGATAGTGGGACATGTATTGCTATATTTTTTTACTGTTTTCAGTGTGTAGCCCTTCCTCTCTGTGTAGTTTTGTGGGTTGTGAGATTTGCTTCTTTCTTTTTCTTTTTTCCTTCATAGAAAAAGCAGGAGATAAAACATTTCAACAACTGAGAAAAATGAGGTTGTAAAACCAAAACGTTTGACAGAGAAACTCAAGAACAAGCATAATATCTAAACTTACTGTAACGTCATATACATAAGTACAGCATTAGAAGCTGGGGCTGAACAGAGAAAACTGACCTGGATCTAATGCTCCCAGTGACTGTTTTAACATATTAGCTCACAGGCTTATAGATTGTCCGGCCAATAGATATGTTGGGCTGGGCATGACACAGTACATATTTTATGTTTACAGTAACTTTAAGTTAACAGGTCTTTTAGTGATCAGTATATTCAAATAAATTCATAATTTTTATGATCCTTGGCAGACAGGAAATTATGGTAAGTAATTTCATTTTTATTTTAATATACTGATTGTTGAAAAAAATGCCTATTATATGGCAAAATTAAGAGGTTTTCTTCATGGGCTGGTTCCTTCTGTGAGTGTAAAGAATATGCGGATATTTTGAAGATGAACAGGAATAGTGTTTGGTATCTGGGGCATTTATCTAGCAACGATCTAGATAAAGAACAACATAATTTTTAGAAAGAGTACAAGAAGGATTCTGAATAGTATTTGGATGCTGCTCTGCCAGTTGCATTATATGTACATAGGTAGTCCTTATTCACCAGTAACCACATCACTGGCTCTATGGCTCCCCTAAAGCTTACAGTCGTTGTGAGAACTCCTTCATGAGGGGACTCTGGAGTCTTTCTGGAAAATTCTACCTACCAGATAAGTAATTTACATTACAAAGTATATATTTAAATTCTGTTACATAATTAACAAACCTATGCTGTTTGGGCCCTTTCATCACTGGCAAGCCTTTCTGCTTTGTTCTTTTTAAGTTCAGAAATTATCAGGTTAAAATAGGTAAGCATTTTTTTTTAATGTTGCTGAACATATGTTTTGAAAGCTAACATCCTCTCCAGCTAGAGAGAGATGGAATTAGAGTTCTCAATTAGAGTGGTACCAAAAGCATTGCATTAATTAATTTAACTACCATCTTCATTATAAATAAAACAGTAGATTTAATATAAATTGTATCATATTGTGGGCTCTTACTCTGGATCCAGAGTGAACCTTACTCTTGTAATAATGTCACAGTTACAAAAAAGAGATTAAGTAGTGCTCATTTTATAACCTGAAACTATCTTAATCTATCTTGAAAAAACAACTCATGACTCAGTTTCTGCATTTCAGAATTCTTTTTGAATAGTATGATGTTGCTAACACAGCTTCAAATATATTATCAATTTCATTTTGCTGTCTTAGCTTTCCATGAATCACCATTCTATTTATTTCCCTTCAATTTTTCATACTTTTTTCACCATGCCAGTTCAACTACTATACTTGGCAGATGAACCTTTTGTAGCAGATGTAATATGCGTAAGACAAGTAAGAAGTAGCATGTTCTTTTTCTTGTCAGCCTCTTGAATTGCCCAAGTTAATTCATAACTTCTTGCTTTCAGCAACTCATCTGCTTCCCACTTCTGTGACAACAGGATGTCTTCAGCTCTGTTATAATCCAAATTATTCCCTAAAATTTTTACTTGTTTTTTCCTCCGAACCACTTCTACCTGGCTTTGTAACTTCAAGAAGGCCATCTGGCTAGCTTCACATTTCCATTTATACATTCAGATCTAAGCTATCTCAATTCTGCTACTTCTTGAAGGAAAAGGGCACTCCTTTGGGTCCCTCATAACTGATGATATAATGGCTCCCGTTCAGTTTCTTGCGTCCTGTGCAGCAATTCTGTCAGTTCTGATTTTGTGTATGAGTCACTCCAGGGTGATAGATGATGGAGTTTCTCCTGGTTTGGGAATTCTGGCACGGATTTGCTTCTTGAACTTGTTCCAGTGCCCAGGTACTTCGGATACCTCAGGTTCATCTTCCAGTGTTTCAGTGCTCATACTCTCACTTGCAGCGACACTGAAGAAACAAACCATCATCCTACTCCTTGGAATGGTAAAAACCTAACAGCAGCACTAAAGCACCAGCATCTCAGTCACTTTGTGCACTTATTCTTCACATTCAATCCTTTGTTATTCTGCGAGTTACCAGCTATTTCTTGATAGTTGCTCCATGTTTTCCAATAGACCAACTTCTATTACTTAGATCAAGCTTTCTGTATTTATACGACAAACCTGGTATTAAGGTATTGAATCTTACACTGGAAATGCTGGGTACTTTTACCTTCTATTTGATTTCAGAATGTCTAGCAGTAATTAGGAAAATTCACCATTAATTATCATAAATATTTACCATATTTTTAAAGCTGTCCAAGTTTAATTTATTTCACTTCACTTTCTACAAATACTTCACTTGAAACTTTTCTAATTGAATTTCAGTAGTATCTCCTATCATAGAAGTGGCAATTTTATCACTAAATGTATAGGAGACAAACCTTGCTTTTAGGTAAGCTTTTGCTGGCTTTTGAAATTCAAAGAGAGAATAACATTTGCTGCGGTGTTTTTTTGTAATCATATAAAGACAGATGCTTATGTAAAGTATCCTGGATTTTCAGGAGGGCAGAATTAAATTTGCCAATAAATTTCAAATAAATTTCCAAGTTCTGTGAGCTTCAAACCTCATCTATAATATCAACATAACAGAACACTGGTAAACTGCAGTGCTGTCTCTAACCTTGTTTTTCTTGGTATTTCTAGAACCACCCCCCATCCCTTCTTTGTGCATGACCCCTATGGACAGAGGACTTTGTAGAGCCAAAGAGTTAAGATTTTTCTACAACTACTCAACTGGAAGATGTCGCCCATTTAGCTACAGTGGTTGTGGTGGGAATGAAAATAATTTCACCTCGAGAAAGTCATGTTTGAGGATCTGCAAGAAAGGTATGGGAAGTGATACTACCACAGACTATCATAAGAGGTAAATATTATGCAGGCTGAAACATTCTTGCAACTTCTGGTAGTAAGTACTGGCCTGATAAAATGTAATAGTTGAAAGTCTTAGAAAAGTGAAAATGGAAATCAGAAGAGAGACAGAGCTAGAGAGAGAAAGATGAACAGTAGAATACAGTGTACAAGAACAGAAATAAGACAACTTGGCATTGGTCAGGCATATGAAGACTTTAGGTAAGACAATGTTCTTTTGTCTATTTTTAAGAATATTTCTTGAAAACAAGACTTGTCTCTTATTTCTAATAATCTTGGATGTGTTAGTCATACAATATCTAATCTTACTTTCTTCATTTTACCTTTAGGATTCAATAAAAAAAAAGGTGAAAGAGGATTAATAAAAATCAAGAAGAAAAGAAAGAAACAGTCAGTAAAGGCTCTGGGCGAGGAAATCATCCCTGAAAGAATACAACTTTGATTTTTATGGAAATGTGAAGTAAACTGCTATTCACCTGTGAATGAAAGCCTTTAGTATACACCATTTAAGTATATTTACTGTACTGATTATTTTGATTATATATTATTAAGCTGCTTATATCTTCATTATGTATTCCTCATGCATGTTAATAAACATTACCTTTTACTTTGTTAAAGGCTCTTAAATTGTAGTTTGATTGGATATAATTGTCAGAGCTGAAACAGGACAGAACACTGTGTGCGTGTATAACTGATTAAAAAGTAGACTCAAATTTACTTTGTTATCCTTTATTAGTTTATTATTCTTTTTTTAAGTCTATTTTTGTGCTAAAGAAAGCATAATGCTTGTCAAAGAGTGATCATTTGTCAAGCATGATTGCTTCAATCATCATTCAAAGATAGGTCTACTGCTATAAAGAGGAAATAGACACTGGGTTTGTTTTAATCAGATTTATTTTAGGTTATGCAAGCTAGATTTAATTCCATCAAAGTGCATAAAATTACACTATTGTAAAATGAATGTGAGATCAGAATTAACCCACCAAAAACCATAAAGAGAGTGTTAAAGTTGTAAATGTGTGAAGCAAGGTGACAGATATTTACAAGGATTTAAAAATATATTTGCTGGGATCATTGATTTTTATCCTTGTTACTGAACTAGACTCATGGCTAGCAAGTTCATAATTTCCAGAAATACATATTAAATTTTTACAAAAACCAGAACAAATTCCTTTCATAGAAATAAATACAGTTGTTTTAGAGATAACACTATGCTTACTCTCCAGTTGACTTTGAGGGGTTTTTTGGTTGGGTTTTGGTGGGTTTTTTTAAGACTGGCATGAAACAGCGGTACAGTTCCTGCCCTTCTCCAAGGCACCTCTCTGATCTTGGGTAAATCTTTTATAATGAGATTTTTTTAAAGGAAAGAATGAAAAAAAGGTAGTTGGTTTCCTATTAAGGTTTTTAGAAGCACCTTGCTGACTATGAAACAAAAGATAGCAGGATATTTTTGAAACTCTTCCCTATCTTCTTTGATGTTGTAAATCTTTTTTTTATGCATTGTGTTTTCTCTTTATGCTTGAAACTATGGAGGATAGTTACAAGTCACCGCTCTTTGTGAGAGGTGGTATGGAAAGAAGTAGCTGAAATAGATGTTCAGGGGGCCCAGACACTACAGCAAGGAGTAAGGACAGCAATGACAGAATAATAAACGATCCATTGGACTAAGCTGCCTTTGCGTGTGTGCTATGAATCACATCTGTGATTTCAGAAAACCTGTGTTTTATATGCCTGATGGACTTTGGACTAACTCCACAGAAACGCTCAGCTTTACTGCTGAAAATGAAAGCATTTATGCATTCTAAGTATCTGAGTGAGAGGGTGTCCTGGTTCCGGCTGGGACAGAGTTAACTTTCTCCCCAGTAGCTTGGGGGATGTGCTGTGTTTTGGGTTTGGTATGAAAGGAGCGTTGATGGCCCATTGATGCTTTGGCTGTTGCTGGGTGATGCTTGCACGGGGCGGGGGGAGCACAGCCGGGGTGGTGGACCCAGCTGGCCAATGGGGTATTCTATACCATGTGACATCATGCTCAGTATAAAAACCAGGTGTGTGGGGGGGCTGACCCCCCGTTCGTGACACGCGGTCGGTGGTCGGTGAGCAGTTGCATTGTGCATCGCCTGCTTTGTCTATTTTGTTATTGTTGTTGTCCTCACTGTTACTCTTACTGTTCTATTTTGTTTTATTTCAATTATTAAACTGTTTTATCTCAACCCGGGGGTTTTCCTCCTTGTGCTCTCCTGATTCTCTCCTCCATCCCACCGGAGGGGGGGGGTGAGTGAGCGGCTGCGTGGGGTTAAACCACGACAGGGGGTAAGCAAAAGTCACAGATTTTTATACAGAAATTCTATCCAAATCTCTTTTCTGGTGCCTAAGTCCTTTCGTGACTCTTTTAATCTAGGATCTATTAAGTCTGATTTGAAAAATGCTCATGAAACTGAAATGTACACCAGAAAATATTTATGTAAAGTCTTGTCATATGAAATGTATGAGCACTACAGACTTACAATGCAATAACTATATAAATCAGACAAGTGCAGTTCTGACAGGAAACGTATAAACTCCATAGACTGCTGAAATACTAGTAACAACAGTTCTCTACACAGAATTAATTTGGTGTGTCGTTACCTGCCAGTTTCAGTTCCAGTTTGATGTCTTCCCATTCTAGTTCATCATTTTTATTAACCTTACTTTCCAGGAATTGTCTCTGCTCCATGCACTAAGAGTCGAGTCTGTAGATGTGAGTTGCACTGCACAGAAGCGGAGCACTAGGTTAAATACTTGGACCAGCTGGACTTTGTCATTGCAGACAAGTGAAGAGCCTGTGGTTTAAACTGCTCCCAGGCCTTTCCACTTGTAGCATAGCAACTGCCTTGGCACAGTAGTGTATGTGGCCTCCGAAAGCAAGAGTTGCTTTAGGCACACTAGGTATGGCAGACTCAGGGCTTACCAGTGGGCTGAACACTCCACTAATGCCACAGTTACCCTGCTTCTACACTGATACTAGGGAATGCAGGTGAGTGCACAGACGTCTGCACCATTTCTTGTATAAATTTTATGATGAAGGCAGTAAAAATATCTAATTTTCCATTCTTAGTCATAATAATTTCTCATGGGCTTCCAGTATTAAAACTTGTGTGATGTACGTCGGAGTGGAGACAGAGCTGAGGTATGTGCAACCTGGCTTCTCCAGCAGCTCACTGACTCAGTAAGGACATTCTGAGTGTATGGTTTCAGATTAAAGAAAAAAAAAAGAAGTGTTAAGTGCTGGGTAAGTAACAGATTTGCAATAGGTGCCTTCTGTCACTGATGTCTGACAGATAGGCAGTACCATGTTAAAATCCTTTTGCAAAGAAACGTATTCCCTAGCATGATTCTGAGGTATTTGACTATGATTCACATTAAACTAAAACATCTTCTAAAGCTTCCATGTAAAAGAGAATGAAACTCATTCTTTAGCAGCAGGAGTGCGACATTCAGATAACTCCATTGTTTACATGAATCTGCGTTATTGGTGGCAGTGTTTCTTTAAGGAGAGTTTTTTCTCAGCATCAAGCCCAAATAAGGGTGATGGGGACAGAGCTGTTTCTGAGGCAGTCCTCTGCCCAGCCGTGACTGCAGCTCTAAACCTGGTGGTGTTTTCGGTTGTGATGGGACTCTAATTGGAGCCTTGCAGCAGTTGGGAGGAAGGGGAAGGGGTTTGCCCATGGTGTTTCTTAAAGCAGTCCCACCAAGAACACAAACAAGGATTTGTAAACTCTCTAAGTTTTATGAGATCCTAAGCCAGAATGATGAACTTTCTGAAACAGAATGTTCTGAATGAGACAATAGATATAAAAGATAGATAGGAAAGAATAGATCCATTTGTTTGTACATTTGTGATCCCTGTGTCATTTCATGGCAGTATCTTTCCTTCAGGCTCCCACTTGGTCCAGTGACTTGTCCCTGACTGCCTGGATTCAACACCTACAAAATTCACCCTGGAAGTCTAGGAAAAATCCTTTCTGTCCCTGCAGAAACCTGGCTGTGTGGTTGCTCCCCATTCTTCTAAATCTCCTGCTCGCTGAGCTCTTCTGCAAACTAACAGGGTCTACTCACTGAGTGTGCTCAGTTGCTCCTCACGACTGTGCAGTCTTCTCTTCTTCCAGAACTGCTGTAGCTAGGACAGGACTAACAGGTACTCCCTCATACTCTCCCACCCCCTACTTACATTATACTAAAGAAACTTCTCGTGCATTCATTTTGTAGTAACAGTGATTAAACAAGTGATCCATTGAGGGATCTCTTATGTCATTGTTGAGACAGAAAAAGACTTTATAGTTATAGCGTCTCAACAGTACCTCTATTTCAATTGACTAAGAAAACATTATGAAGTGATTCGTCTTTTAGGCTTGTGACTTAGTGCAATGAGAATGAAGACTGGAGTTTTGTAGACTGTATAAAACCTGATCTGATTATAGTCAGAGATTTGATGTGAGAGTGCATGCTCTTCTTGGTGTGTGTACTAGGTTTGGCCACCATACTAGGTTTGGCCACTGTCTTCCTATCTTGTTTTTGTATAGCTCTACAGTGCATTGAATTAGTTTTTCCCATAAAAAGTCCAAACAGCAGCGTGATCTGATCTGATCTTCATCAACTCTACAAGAAGTTTCTTTTGTGCCCTTCTCCTTCATTCACTTCTTTTCATTCCTGTATCTTCAACATCTGCAGAACAACCAAATGCAAGAATAAGAAAACAAAGATCTATGAATTTCTCAAAGATAATTAAAGGATGAATGTAGAAGGGGGAATAATTGAGCCATAAGACAGGGAAAAGATAGGGAATTGGATGGCAGAATGGTGACAACATCAGAAAATGAAGTTATGCTAAGGTGTTACAGTGACTGTACATTTCCAATTAACTGGAGTCCATTCATCCAGTCATTTCATTCCAGAATCTACCCCGGTTGCTTTGGAGGAAATATGCACAGCAGGGTGCTGTGAAATTTCTCCCACTTTGTATGATGGGAGCCAACAAGCTGAAGCAATATTACGGAAGTTTGATGAGTTTCCACGTATCATCTGACCTGCGATAACTTGGTATGTGCCCTTAGTCCATACAGATGATGAAGAAAAATGTCTTTGAGAAATAATTTGAAGTCTTTTTATTCATTCTTTCTTCCTCATGCTTTTACTGGTATGTCCTCCTTTTTCACCTTTTTACTTTCTATTCCCTGCTTTTCTTTTCTTTCCAGTTCATTTGAGCCAGCATTTCTCCCTGCATCTCCAATCCATCTACTATTTCAAAACTGATGCATTTATTTACATTTTGAGAAAGCCTGCATCTTTCTAGATTCTACTTTTCAAACATTAAAGTGGACATAAGAATTATATTGGTTGCTTTCGGAGGTATGTTCTCTTGAGAAAGAACCAGGTTGAAGTGGAATATGGTTATTACGTGTTTAA